AAGTTAGTTACAAATTTCATTTATGGCCACCATCTCACCCTCAACATGATGAGTAGATTTATAAAGAAGAAAGAGATTGTGAGGCTCTGGTGGGGTCACGAGATTTGGGATCTGGTACTTATGCCTAGATAGCATACATTCGAGGAGTGTACAATTGAGGCAGATGTTTACCTCGAATGACTGGAGAGCATGCAAGTGGTCCAAAGATTAGGTTGGGAAGAAAGTGAGAGATATTATCCTTTCTAAGGCTTTTTGGTGAGGGGTGAAGGGCGCTCTTAAGGTATTTTTTCCTCTTGTCAAAGTCCTTCACATGGTTGATAGTGACAAGCTTGCTATGGGCTTTATATATGAGGTTATGGAGAAATGCAAAAGAGAGATAGCCCAAAATTTTGATGATGATGAGAACTGCTACAAGCCTGTTTGGGAGATTATTGATGAGAAGTGGGATAGGCAGCTACATCGGCCATTGCATGCAGTTGGTTATTATTTGAACCCAGCTTTTTTTTATGTTGACAAGGATATACACACAAATGACACAATTATGACTGGATTTAATAAGTGTGTAGATGTGCTAGTTCCTGATCCGGATATCCAGGATATTATATTCGCTGATGAGCTGATAAATTACTCGTGCTCATTAAAGTCCTTTGGGAGTCCAATGGTGATGAGGCAAAGGACCAAAATTGATCCAAGTAGTAATAATTTTCTTAAGTTCATCAAGTTCAAGTAATCAAGTTTCATTTTTATAATTCTATTATTTATTTATGATTTTATTCTATATCTTTGCAGCCAATTGGTAGAGCCAACATGGGTGTAGTTCCCCAAATTTACAAAGTTTGCCATTCGGATCTTAAACCTAACCACTTCCTCATCCGGTTGTGAGCGTAATTCGAGTACTTTTGAAGGGGTAAGGCCGTAAGGGCAATTTGTATAATTGTATTAATAATACATGAACTATAGATTTTAATTAGTTTCATTTGATTTTGTTAGATTCATACAAAGAAAAGGAACAGGCTTAAATCAAAGAGGCTCAATGACATAGTCTATGTCAAGTATAATCGATTTTTGAATGACAGGTTTGCTAAGAGAGATAAGAGAGACCCCATCAGATCAAAAAATATGGACAATGCTATGGAGTGGTTAGTTGATGATGATAAGGTCGAGGGGTATGAAGGATTGACATGGGACATGGTCATGGATGCTTCAGGGACATCAGCTGACCCTCCTAGAGCCATTAGATCTTCTGCATAGAGAAAGAGGGTGGAGGAGGAAGAGGAGGAAGAAGAGGCAGATTCAGAAGAGACGGAGGAGGACGACCAATATGTCCAGGAGGGTGACGACTCCGATGAATATGACATCAATGCAGCTGACCCTAATTTTTCTGATGATAAATGATGAATGTTGAATAATTATTAAACTTTGAACTTTGATTGAACTATTGTCTATTAAAGATTCTTGAGTCTTCAAATATTACTTTCATTTTTATTTTCTTCCTCATGGTGGTGTAATACTATAATGTGATTTGTGGATAGTGGATTTGTAGTTCCACTGGTTTGGTACTATTTGTTAACTTTGGTTTGGTAATTTGGTTGGTTGGTAAATTTTAAGTTTTAATTGGATATCGATTATGGACCGACCTATGGTTATGCTTATAGAGTGTGTGCTTACTTTGAATTCTGATGTGTCCTAAATACTTAATTCTTATATTTTATAAAATATATAACTGTAGAATCCTTTTTGGATTCAACTAGGCCGCCCAGGTTCTGGGTGCCCGCCTAGGACACGCCTAGCGCTTTTTGAAACACTGACTATCACAAATATACTGAAAACTCCATCCCTTCTAGAAACTACACCTCACAAATCAGGTTGTGACACAGCATTACCAATGACACTAGCCTATCAAAAATCAGGTGAGTCACAGCATTACCAATGCCACACAGTCCATACGGACCACGCCTTATAATCCATCCTGACCATACCCTATTCCGACCATGCTCTACTGGAGCACATCACTATACTCATAGTTTTATATGCTCTCATAAGGCCTTTAAATGGCCACATAACCCCAACATACATTGCTAGTCACATTGCATACATGTCCATTGCACGTCCATGTGAAAACGATTAGAGATAATATCACTATGATTATCATTATTTTATGTTAGCTAAAAATTAATATTTTGATGAAAATCTCCATGTCTGCCCTTTTGTGCCTAACAACCGCAAGATTCCACATTGATCAAAATGTCAAGTTCCACATTAATCCTCTATCTAAATGTCAATATTAGCTACCATGAAATGAGAATCCTATGATTCATAGATCGCACACAGCTAGAATACCTAGCTATTACTATAGTAAATATAGTCTAAACCAATCAAAAGCTAATGTATGCCATTGCCAACCGAGCCCCATCTGTGCAATTGCTATAATCTCCAAATTTATTTTTGGGACTTGTATAGCAAAGTATTATCGTTATATAAAATACACCTTTGCGACTAATTTATACTAGCCAGGTTGATTTAATACCAAATTTCCAAGACAAAGCACCATGTCTTTCTTGGCTTTTCAATAAGTCACTAAAAAGCAAGAAATAATTCCATTTGGAGTCCAATAGTAAAGTGGAATATAGGCTTATATCCAACTAATGTAATAAGATGTTTTGTTGCTTGGATCCCTATTCAATCTTGGTGTTGAAATTTTTGTGCACTCTTCATCAAAACTCCATGAATCGGTGAGACATGTAGAGATAGATTGTCGTTTGTTCAGGAGAATGGCACCCTTGGAAATAAAATGAAACCTCAAATTGCATGTAGCATCAGAGTTTACTAAATAGAGGAACTTGTATCTAATTGTCAAAAATTAAAATTTGAGGCAAGTGTTTCCCCTTAAAAAAAAAAAAAGAAGGAACTTATATCTAACGACATGACATTATCATCGACGCTCTTCAATGCAAATTTAGTAAGCAAGAACTTCAATTGTACAAAGTGCTCAAGGTTCGATAAGCAAGACACACACCCCATCATCACAATAATATTTTTTAATTAGGACAAATCAAATACTATAGGTTCGCACTCAAATAGCATGATACATATCACCGAGAACCAAAATGTTCATATATAACGACAATTTAATGCGAATGGTCCCACTAAGGATATGATCCTTGATAGAGTCAAATGGTAGAAAACGATTTGTGTGGCGGACCCCAAATAGTTGGGATAAGGTTTGGATGATGATGATGATCATAACCACAATTTTATGCAAAGTATGCCTAAATCCTAGATGTCACCCTTCAAAAGATAAAATGTCTCTCTTTTTTGTTTATTGATTAAGAGCTTGGTCATTTTACATTTTCTTTGGGTAAGTTTTTTTGGTTGAGTCAATGGGGAGAGGGTCCCTACCCTTGGTAGGAATTGCGCCTGGAACCTAATTTTACCCTTTAAAGAGTAGAAAAGCACAACCCAAGAAGTTCAATTTTTTAACAGGATGCCACATTTTAAAATGCAATGGAAAGATTATCAGTATATAAACATACACCAATGTCCCATTGAAGAAACAAATATACAAAATAAAAAAAAAGAAGCAGAACCCCTAAAAAAAAATTCAAGCTCCCATTTCAAACAAAACAGAAAAACGAAGGAACTTAAACAGAACCCACAAAATAACCCATTAAAACAAGAATGAAGAATGTGATTAAAGCAAAACAACATAAAAATGTAATAAAAAGAAAACCTAATTCAGTTTCCCACTCCAAAACCAAATAACAATCCCAAAAATCTAACCTTTTAATGGATAATCACACCAAGACAAGAACAAGAAGAAGAAGAAGAATATAGTAACATCAAGTAGGATAAAAAGAAAAATAGAAATGAATTAGTGATTGGAACAAGTAAATAACAGATAAAAAACAACCATTAATCAAATCATTCCCGTACATTTTAACCAAAAAATTAACCCTAAATAAAATACTAATAAAAACCTTTAGAGTATCAGACGCCTTTTTTAACTCGATCTCCAACTCCATCATCGTCGTAGCCTCACTGGTTCTAATCACCGCTGCCAAAGCCATTATCGCTGCTACAGCCTCAGCTAAATCGGGTTTCTTTCGCCAAAAATTAAATTCATCTATAACACTAAACGAGGCATTCTCTCTGTCTCTATGCCTATCACCATGGGATTCGCTCAGGCCCGGCTTAGCCGGGCCGCCATCAACGGCGGCTTGGGCTTGGGCAAGCCAGTGACTTGAGACGGCGTGGTGCTCGGCTCTAGCGGCGTAGTAGCCAGCTCCAGAGCCGGCTTGGATTGGGGGTTTAGGCGCCATAGTTGCAGGAGGCGCTAAATTTGGAGGCGGAGAAGAGAGGGATTCGCGTTGGTCGAGAATGAAAGAAGCAGAAGGCCTCAACATTTAATAGAGGGCGTCGGATTCCTGCGAGGTGGACCACCGGGATTTCGTGGAGAGAAAAAGCGAGTGATGATATTTTAGAGAGAGAGAGAGAGAGAGAGAGGGAGAGAGAAACCAGAGTGATTCGCAGGAAAAGAGAGAGAGAGAAAGAGGGAGAGAGAAACCAGAGAGATTCGCAGTAAAAGAGAGAGATTCGCAGGAAAAGTAATGTCCGAGAATTTATTAGCCGCAAGGGCTAGAAAAGGCCAGGACGCCAGGCGCAGGCCCAATAGGCTGGGAAGTTTTGGACTGGACCGGGCAATTAGGCCCGATATAGGTCCATGACCACTTCAAACTTTGGCGGCGTAATGTTATACTAGGAGAGGCCTGGGCCGGTGTTATGGAGTATAGGACCGGGATAGCCCGTTGCCAGCCATGAACAGAGCTTGGAACTTCATCGTCCATTGCATCATCACCATGTGCTCAATGGATGAACGGTGATGGAGTGACGAGGTTATGGCATGATTGTGGAAGTCCAACGCTCCAAGGGTGGCAAAGGGCCGGACCTCGGGCTGGACAAAAACAAAACAAGAAAAAATAGAAGAAAATGTTAAGAGAAAAAAGGAGGATGGGCAGTAACTTAATCCGGCTCAGAGGACACGGCCTAGGCCCTACTTTTTTCAAGGCCAGGCCGACCTACTTTTTTAAGATTTGTAAACTTGTATTCACCAAAAAAATTATTAATAAACTTGTATGCCCTTATGGCAACGGTTTCAAAATAGTTAAAAAGTGTTATGCACTACAGTTGGAGCATACACTCTATCTTACTCTTAGGTAAACTCAATTGGTATGAATGGTTAGGACCTTAAAACTATGGGTATGTAACCTTTTCAACCTACTAACCTCAAAAATAAAATAAAAATAAATAAATAAATAACAAAATTGCACTTAGCATATGCCTAAAAAAGTTACTTCCCAATATTGAACAAAAGCTATCCACTTTTTGGAGTATGAGATCTAAGGGTTGAAGAACTTGAAATCCAAATATTTTTTTTTGTTTAAACATAATCACCTAGTGATTCTTGTTGTAAAATTGGGATAACTCAATTACCCCTTTGAGCCAATTAGGATAACTCAAATTCTTACTTGATGTGGTGAACACCCCACAACAATAATTTCAAGACTCAAATAATATGTCCGAGATGCAATTACAAGTGCAATATAATTGAAAAAAACAAATAAATAAGAAAGCAAATTATATGGGAAATCATTAAATAACAACACAAATGAAAGTAGAGAGGAACACACACATTTACGTGGTTCACCCAAGATGGGCAACGTCCACGGGCAAGACGACAAAGATGTATTCACTATCAAGAAGAAAACTTATAAGATTAGATTTATATAGAGTTACATCATACAATCTCAAGAAAAGCTCAAAAAAAAGAACTTCTTACCTCAAAACCACCTACAATCGACTCCTTTATCCGATTCACCGATGCCATGAAGAAATGCCGACAAAATAGCCCAACACAAGCCTAAATGATGGTATTAGGGTTTTGTTGTAAAACCCTCAATTTCTAGCCCCAAGCTTTTTTTTCAAGTTTCATTTTCTCTACATAAGAGTTCCCCCCTCTTCAAAATGCCCGTTTCTCTCTCTAAAAAAGGCCCTTTTATGAGCCTTTACTAAAAAGCTTATTTTAGTGACTAAAATAAACTTCACCTTATTATACCATAGGGTGTGATCTTTGCATCACATCTCAATAATTTCCATCTTGATGCAAAATCACATTTGTGCTTTGTCAACCCATCATTTCTTGCATTTCTTAAAACTTAGAGAAGTTAGGCTCCATTCTAACTTCTCTACTTGATGGGCTTCATAAGTATATCCGTAAGGTTGTCTTCGGTCTTGATTTTGATCAATCAAATTCTTTCATCTTCAAAAATTTGTTGGATATAATGATATTAAACCAATATGTGTCTTGATCATTTATGGTAAACTGGATTCTTGGCCAAATAGATAGCATTCATATTGTCACAAAATAGTTCAAAAAGCTTGCACACAATACTCATCTCACTCATCAATCCTTGAAGCCGCACGAAGTATTTTGATGCCTTCATTGTTGCCATGTACTAGGCTTCAGTAGTTGACAATGCTACCATGCCTTGGAGCTTTGACATTCAACTTACCGGTTCATTTGCAAACCGAAAAACAAAATGTAGTGGTCGACCTACCTCTATCAAGATCACCGGCAAAATTTACATCCACAAGACCTTGCATTTGAATTGAGCCCTTGCCAAATGTGATTGCATAACTAGTTGTGCCTCTTAAGTATTGAAGCACCTATTTTGTTGCTTCCCAATAAATCTTTCTGGGGTTTGTCATAAATCGACTTAGAACATCAACTGCATGTGCGATATCCAGTTTTCTACATGCCATGGCAAACATTAAACTTCCAATCGCATTTGCATAATGCACCTTAGCCATGCTTCTTCTTTATTCTTCTATCTTCGGACTTTGCCTTAAAGACAATTTGAAGTGAGGCACTAAGGGTGGCTCCATCGGCTTTGTATCCTTCATGCCAAAATTTTCAAACACTCGTTCTATATAACCCTTTTGAGATAGTGAAAAAATTCCATTTAGTCTATATCCCTTTCAATTTCAATACCAAGGATTTACCTTGTTGTCCCGAGATCTTTCATCTCAAATCTTTTGCTCGAAAAGTCTTGAGCTCATCAATTTTAGCCTTATCTTTGCACACCAAAAATATGTTATCCACATATAAGACTAAAATTAAGTACGTACCATCATCAAAGAACTTTAAAAAGATGCATTAGTCATACTTACTTCTAATGTACCAAATTCTCATTATGAACATATCAAATATTTTATACCATTGTTTTGATGTTTGCTTGAGCCCATACAAGGACTTCTTCAATTTGCACACAAGTTCTTCTTTGCCCTTCTCTATAAAGCCTCCAGTGGTTGCAAGTACACTTCCTCTTCAAGTTCCCCATGCAAAAAGGTTGTCTTCACATCCATTTGCTCAAGCTGTAAATCATACATAGCAACTAACCCAAGTATTTGGATCCACATAATATTTGTGCCACTCGAGTGCACGAGTTTCTCTAGCAGCGTGTCGATGTGCCAAAGGCACAACTTCATCATGATGGCTATGTGGTTCTTCATCTTGACTTCGTAGTTCTTCACGTTCTTCACCATGATCAATGAGTATATTCTCATAAGGCGTAATTGCACTTAGTGGAAGTATTTAGAGTTGTCTTCCAATTCTTGGCTCTCTTGTTGCACTTCTTAACTGTTGTCCTTCAACATCATTTATTTTGCCAATACCTTGGATTTATCGAAATGCACATCATGGCTAGTGATTATTTTTCGGGTACTTGGATCCCATAACCGGTACCCATTCACACTCTTGCTATAACCCACAAATATGCACTTCTTTGACCTTTGATCCAATTTGTTCATTTGGCAACTTAGAATAAGTGCATATGCATCATCACCAAACAAAATTTAAATCAGAATAGTCACTCAGAGTTCCATATTATACATCATTAGAAGTTTTGCTTCCCAATGCTATCGAAGGTGACTGATTAACAAGATAACAAGCCATTGATACAGTTTCTGCCCATAATTCTTGTTCTAGACTTCCATTGCTTAACGTACACCTCGCATGCTCCATCAAAGTGCGATTCATCCTCTCAGCCACACCGTTTTGTTGAGGATTGTAAGCATTTGCATAATACCTATTAATTTCCTCAGCCTTGCAAAAACTTTCGAATTCCTTTGATCCAAACTATCCATTATTATCGGTCCGAAAAACTTTGATGTAATGCCTTGTAGATTTTTCAACTTTGGCTTTAAAATTCTTGAACGCACAAAATGCATCATTTTTAAACTTGAGAGTTTTGATCCATACTTTCTTGAGAAGTCATCAACAAATGAAACAAAATATAATGCACCTCCATAAGATGTAGTCGGTGAAGGACCCCATACATCTAAGTGAATATAATCAAGTTTGCACTTGCTTGTATGTTTCCGGCTTTGAAAAGTTGTCTATATTATTTCTCATAGACACAATGCTCACAAAATTCGGATCCATCAATTTTAGGTGTAGGAATAAAACTCATCTTCATCAAGGCCTTCATACCCTCATCACTCATATGCCCCAATCTTTTTATACCAAAAGTGAAATGTAACTTCCTCACCTTCCACCACGAAATTCACTTCATCATTTATTGTTATGTTTCCCAATAACTTGTACAAGCCCTTCTTTATACCACCTTAACCGGTAAACTTATAAACTTCCGAATCTAAAGAAGAGAGAGAGATGAAGCTCTTTTTTAGTTATGGCACATGCATAACATGCTTAATTGCCCTAATAGTCCCACCAAATATTCTTAGGCAAATCGGACTCATTCCAACCACCTTACTAGTGGAGTTATTACCCATGAATACCGATCCTCTTTCACATGACTCATAAGAGTTAAACCATGATCTATGTGGGCACATGTGATGGGTGGCTCCACTATCAAGTATCCAATTTTGATAGAATATTGAATTATATGTTATCATCAATACTTCATCTTCAATGAACCCAGATATAGACTCTTCAATTTAATTTGTTTCATTCTTGGATTCACTTGACATTTCACCTACAACATTAGGAGCTTTGAAAGAATTCACCTCATTTCTTTTAAAATAATTCTTCCTTATATGACAGGGCTTCCCACATTGAAGCACCCCGTTCATTCGATCAACCCCTTGCCACAAGAGCTTCTGTCTTTGATTCCACTGAACTTCCCAAATATACATTCTTTCAAAGTTCATTGGCAAGTAGGGCACTACACACCAAGTCCAAATCAAGAGAATCTTCTTTACGACAAATCAATGTAGTAACAAGATTATCATAAGATTATGGCAATGAACAAAGCAAGGTGACCGCCTTATCTTCATCTTCCATTCTCGCACTAATACTCTCAAGATGACAAATGATTTATTAAATTCATTCAAGCGTTCTGACACATTTGCATCATCTTTCATTCTCAATCAATACAATTTTTCTTTTTAAGAAAATTCGATTTGTGAGAGATTTTATTTGATACAAGCTTTCCAATTTTTCCCACAAATATTTTGCCACTTTTTCGCCAATAATATTAAACAAAGCTT